ACCTGGTGTTGTTTAAGCTTCAAATGTGTTCGTTATTGCGGTTGAATATCCCACAATTCGTAAAAGTGCTTTCATCTGTCCAAATTACATTTTCCAAGAAAACATTTTGTATGACAAATATTTTGGGAAAGAAAGATTTTGGCTTTCGGAGGATTTCCCCGGGTTCATGTTCATCTGCAAATTATTAATTTTTATTGAAAAGACACAATGTCTAACTTACCTCATACATACCTCATTTATCAAATTTTCTTCAGTTTCCTGGTCCATTCTGTATCCGTATTTTTTCCTCGGCTTTTCAAACTCGGTGAGATTTTGATCCAATAACTTGAACACAGTTCCATGTGGTTGTCGTCTTTCGGGATACAAGTTTAAATACATTTCTGATGTCCTAACACCGTTTTTATCGTATTTGTAATAAATTTGTAACATTTTTTTTTCTTCATTTGAAAGCCATTTTTCGCCAAAAATTCAATGACTTGTATAATAACAAAATGTCATCGAGTATAACAAATTGAAATTCAAATTAAGAAACATCATATCAAAGGCTATTATGATGAGAATTATTTTTTTTCAATATTTTATGGTACTTATGGTACACCATTGAAAAGGTAAAATCTGTAGTATCCGTAAGAAAAAATAAAGTTGATGGTGGTGGCCGGAAGACGAAAAAGTGGCAATATGAGAGTGAAATTCATTTTCGAATATTTCGAAAAATAAAACCCGAAAAAATAAAAACCATTTTCCAAAATTTTTGTTTTTTCCGGATATCAGAACTTTCTCAAAGGCATATTGTTAGACAAGTAAATCTCTCATAGTTTCTGAGATCCCAATGGTGAGGATCGAATTTGAAACACCCTGTATAGTGTCACACATAAAGTTCGCGGCATATGGAAGTTTTTTGTATCAATAGATATAATGAAAATTTGACTTCGCAGTAAGTTTGTGCTTGAGAGATTAGTGAAAAACAGTCTCTTTCCTTTTGTTCTGTGCTACTCTAAACCTGTCAAATTTGATATTGTTTTTCAAAAATTCTCAATTTTTTGTGAATTTCGACATATGCAAAAAAAAAGTTGCTCGATTTCCAATTTTATACCCTTGCTCGAAATTTTGAACTATCTACTATTATTCTTCGAATCTTTCGCTCTATCGATTCGAACGAAACATTATTCAACTCTCATAAATGACCAATATTCATTCAAGAAAAATGTGCGTTGTAGGTTATTATGTCACCAAATAATTGGACCACATTTTTTTAGAGCAAATTTGAACGCAGACATGTACAGAAATTTCATTATGAATCAGTTGTCTGAAGTTTTGGATAATCTGCCTCTAAGTGTTAGATGAAATTTTTGGTATCAGCTTGACGGGGCACCGATCCACCAAACGGTTGAAGTGAAACAGTGTCTCAGTCAGATGTTTAGGGGCAAAGTGATAGGATGAGATTGGAAAGATAATTGGCCACCAAGATCACCGGACTAATCTCCGATAGACTTTTTTCTATGGGGTTATCTGCAACAAAGAGTGTATAAGTACATACCATTGGCAAACAAAGAACATTTAGAGAATACCATTTGAAAGTGCTGTGCTAACATAAATCCCCTATTCATTAAAAGGACTATATGAAAGGACTATAATTTATATAGAATGGGAAGAATGGCATACTGAATTATCGAGATAAATCAATGAATATTATGATGTTTTGATGTAATTTTTTGTTGTGAATGTGTTAGGAATCACACGTTAAAATGTAAGACCTCGTTAGTCCTTAGCTCGCACAAGTTTCGACTTCTCAGGGTTGTCGTTCGTAGGGGTGCGACAACTGGTTAACGGAAAAACAGATTTTTTCAAACAGTTATTTTGGTTCAATATTATTTACACATCTAATGGAGAAAAAGAAGAATATAAGATATATGAAATTAACTCAAGAAGCGTTATTATTTGCTCGATAACTACACATTCACACTGTTGAGTGTAAACTGCATCAAAATATTTCAAACTCATCTGCAGCTAATGAGATACAAATCTGCTGAAATAAGGAATACGAGTGTAATAAGAATTAAGAGAAATACGTTTATTCGATTACTGACATATTAACGTCCATACATTAAAAAACCAAATCAGTCGGTCGGTAGCCGGGCGGTTCGACCTGGGTGCTTTCCTCACCCACTCGCCTTGTTGGTCGGTGGTTCAAGCCCCAACCAGTGTTAGAGATTAGACGTTAAAAGGTAAGACCTCGTTAGTCCTTAGCTCACACAAGTTTTGACTTATGAGGGTTGTCGTTCGTAGGGGTGCGACAGCTGGTTAACAGAAAAACAAATTTTAAACAAACAGACAGATTTTAAACAGTTCAACAATGAAATGAAAAAACTAGATGAACAGGTGGATTTATTTCTTTTTCTGGTAACAAGCCAATGGGGATATTTTTGGGCAAGATGACATAGAAGTCTCGTATTCAGCAAAATTATGAAATCTGAATCGTGTTTCGTTCGAATAAATAGAGCGAAGGATTCAAAAAATTTTAAAAAAATGGAAAAAAGTCGAAGTGACAGTAGGTAGTCCAAATTTCGAGCAAGGATTTACTGCCAAGTCAAATTTTCATTATATCTATTAATAAAAAAAACTTCCACATGTCGCGAACTTTATGTGTAACACTGTAGATGTTTGGATGAGCAATGTTAGATTTGAAACATTTAGAAAAATGTCATAGATATTGATTTTATAATTGTCAAATATTGAGAGCTTGTATTATTTTCATATATTGAAGTTAAACTGAACTTTGTCGAATATTTCTACACACCCAGAACCAGAAAGCGTAAATCCTGACCGATAATTCCAACAGTAAAATACCCGTTCTAATTATATAAACGATATATGAAATAGCTGTGAGGACTTAGACAAAAAATATATTGGTCAGACTACTCGAGCCATTAAAACTCGGTTCAAAAAGGACGCAGTACATACCCGATTTCGATGACCAGAAACATCTAGTGTTGCCTTGGAGAACGGTTATAGAATAAATGAAAATGTTCTGAAATCGTTGAGTTTGGGCATGACACTAGACTTTTGGATGCTTTCGAAAGTCTGAAAGTAGCAAAGTGTGGCGGAAACTTACACGAGAGAATTTCTCGCTAATTTCTACCAGAAATCATTGATATGTATCGGAAGGTGAAAGTTTACCCTGTTAGGTATAAACAGACAGTAATTTTAGATAATTTTAATAATTCCTAACGAATTAGACGCCAACTCGGTTTGGCGGAACACGCGTCGAAAAAAGTTTCGAATTCTGGTGATTGAAAAAAGTGCTTGTTTACGGAAAAAATATTTACAAAAATAGCGTATTGAATTTTTGAAATTGGAAACAGGGCATTCTCTGTTATCGAAGAAGATTCTATAATGTCTTTCAAATTACAGAAATTTAAATTTATATGGTGATTTAGTACCTTGCAGGAGGAGTCGGTGTCTTCATTATTGTTCTCGGTAGTGAAGCATATCTTTCAGTATACTCAGCTTCCTGTTCTATATTGCTATATACTGAGAGTAAGGATGCATCTTCCACATCTGGAAAAAAAACATCTATTTTTACACGATTCTACTATCTGGAGTATTAGCGTTGTAGATTAAAGGAAAAAACATCATAAAAAATCTAAAAGAAAAAGACAAATAACTTTCTTTGGAGAAAATCTTCGTTTTGCTAAATTCAGTTATCAGTGACAATCAATCTACAGTCGTCGTTTCATTCATTCAATATCATAAAAATTAATAATATTCATAACACCAGAAAAATACAAACAGGTAGTAATTTGAAATCTAATTTCAGACAGAATTCGATTCATCATAATGGAATTATAACATATTATAATACAACTCCTGAAGAAATATAAAATCTAAAACTGCTCTGAAAGTCAAAAATCAATTGAAAAAACATGTAATGAATTGAGTTTAGGTAAATAATTATTCAATTTATCCCCTATCCAAAGTCATCTAAATGTGTTCTAGATAATGTGTTCAATTTCACATATGATTGTTTTCTAATAATGATTATTTCACCTATGTTTTCTCATTCTACATTTCATTATTTTGTATTTCACTTTTCAAAACCTATTCAAGAATATTTAATGTTGTTTGCCCATATCAATTACTTGTGTTTTCTTATTCAATATTCATGAACATTTGACGCTTCTTGGGATAATAGGAAAGAGACAGAGTATATGACATATATAAGATTAACCAATGCACAGACTAATAACGTGCATATTCGGAAATCAAGTAATATAAAAATATACAACTAAAATTACATCAAAAGGTTCATTGTGAACTATCATTAGTGGATCTTTCTAAAATGCGTTTGATACTATCAATCATAAAATTTCATTACAAAAATTATTTGACATCAGGATTAAAGGCTCAACTCATGCATGCTTTTTTTACTTTAAATCAGGTTCACTGATTGAACACTCCAAAGTGTTGATAAATGTATCTAAAAATAATATCATCCTGGTTGAATTGTCACAAATCAACGAGTAATATAGCAATATCCTCGTTTATTCTCATAACAAAGGGACAGTCAACATTAATAAGACTGAACATAAAATGTTCAGCATAAATGAAATTTTAGGTTTATTTGTTAGTTTTGGTAATTACACTACAATGTATGTAGATAAGACTTTTTATTTCACACCTGTATCTCCAGAAAATGTCATTGATGTCATAAGGTCTCTTAAAAATACAAGCAGCATAGGAAGTGACTCTATATCTACTAAATTGATAAAAACAATCGGTGTACATATAGCCAAACCTCTGTCGCATATAATCAATTTGTCAGTAACTCAAGGTGAATTCCCAGACTTCCTCAGAATAGGAAGATGTATCCCTATTTATAAAAAAGATGATCCCACCAACATTCAGAATTATCGACCGATCACAGTTCCCTCGGTTATGAGCAAAATCATTGAGAGATGTGTTTACAATCAAATTTTAACTTTTCTTATAAAATTTGACATCGTCTCAAAAAATCAGCACGGTTTTTTTCCAGGCAGATCGACAGAAAATGTGTTTCATATGTTTTTCTTTTTTATATATGTATATACATTTTTTTATATTTATTCCTTAGAATACTTTATCTTTGAATGAGATATTCTTGTGACTGTGACGTTTCCAATATCATGTAAATGATCCAGATGAAAAAAAATAGCTTTCTTGTGAAAATCATATTGAACATATAGGAAAAAATATATTCAATGATTTGCGATTTGTTTAATACACGTAATTATATGTCTCCGAAATACCTCAAATTCATTTATTTTTAGTTTGATTTATTCAAAATTACAATACTTGGTATCAATATGGTAATCGAGGAAGGCACTGACGAGTGGCCAAACAGTCCGTTACCGGTCTGCAAGTGTGTTCCAATAATTGTTAATCGATTCCGGCAGTTGTATCGCCAACAGCAAATGCAGGAATAACTTCAGTGAAGAATCCTGCTGTCGAATATAATCCAACGCTCTTCGTGGTATAAGTATGGGGAGAAGATGTTTTCTGATAGGTGTCAGTCCATTAACTTACAGTGTAGGTGATTTGAGATTGGCCTGAACGAATTGTTCTTTCAGAAAATTTTATTTACAGCCCGCTCAATTTGTGAAGTTTTCTTTCATATACGAGGAATTGGGCAGATACGGATATGCTGTCGCTTGCCTCGTTCACGGGCAGATGGGGCGGTGACACAAACATGTTGTTTGTCGTTAGCTTCTTCGTAGTTCGAGGAATGATACTCTGAAAGGAACTTGATTTGAAATTTTAGGAAATCATTTACTTCATGTTGATGATAGACACTACCTTGCACTGACCAGTGGGCAAACAGCCCAATACCGATCTGCAAGTGTGTTTCAATAATACTTAATCAATTTCGACAGTTGTATCGCCAACAGCAAATGCAGGAATACTTCAGTGAAGAATCCTGCTCTGACGCATCTCGGATATAATCCAACGCCCTTCGTGATATTAGCCAGGGGAGTAGTTGTTTTCTGATAGGTGTCAATCCATTAATCTACAGTGTAGGTAATTTGAGACTGGCCTGAACGAATTGTTCTTTTAGATAATGTATCAATGAAAATAAATGTTCATCTCTGAAATTTGAGTCCCTGAATAATATACTTGAAAATACAAAAATCTCATTACCAGAAAATTTATACAAATTATGGAAAACTATGAGTTTTACATAATGGAGTTATTAGTCATAACGAACTATCAATTACTTCAACACATGTTACTGAAAACCAGTTAAAAATAACCCCTGATAACCGTCTTATTTTTTCAAATTGAGTTGATTATATGTTTTGTATTCATAAATATCTCATTTATTGTTGATATTTAGTTTTATAAACTTGGTTAAAATCACTGTTAACATGTATGTTTCTTGGGGTCAATAAACGATAAATTGATGAAAAAAGGGAAGGGTTTTTCTTGTAAGATATGGAAATCTGTCTGAAATGGACAAACTCAACGAAAATTCAGAAGTACTAGGCACAATAAATAGATTCTGACATCAACAGAGTTCCAGAAATCAAACTAGTCATAGATTTAGTGTAGTTATAATTGAAATAATCGTAGTAACATCAAAAACCGTTAATGAATTTGAATGCAAATACCTAATTATTAAACATCTCGTTTCTTCAAGTATTACGTATGCAGAATTTTAGCCATTTTCAACCCCTTCTTCCCACTGTCAGCGAAAGTAAGCAAAACTATTTCCCATATAAGCGTACGTAAACATTGATATATTTTTTTAAAATATTTTGCAAAATAATGAATATTGATGGCGTAATCACCATCCTGATACCCACATATCGTCAAAAATAAGCGAAGCAAATACCCCCTTTGGTGCTTACGTAATTTTGACTGACAACCTTATGAGTGTGGTCTGCTCCCATACAATAATTGAGGTCATCTCCTTCAATCTTAAAACTATATACGTTCAATTTCAAGGAGCCTGTCTAACACAGAGTATTAGGAACTTTTATAATTAGTTCATTGTAAAACCCTTCAAAATATCTCAGAGTTTTTGTCACCAATTTTGATTTTATATAGAAATCTTCAAACAGTCAGTGCCCTGGCTGGGGCATATGAACAATTCCTATATGAGCAGATATACGAAAGAAATTTTGAAATGACCACTTCGATTCTCTGACTTCGATCCTTTTCTATTGATTCGTTCAAATTTTTCTAGATATTGGTTCTTCAAATATCAACTTTGTCTATTTTGTTACAAGTAAAAAATATCTAGGTTAGGTGCAATTGGCTGGTGGCCGAACGCCCTACAGAAAAGGGCCCAGGCAAAGCTCTCTGGCTTACAGTGACAGGCTTGTCTGGCTATCAGTGGTGCCATCAATACCACACCATCAGCGGTCATGGAGATCCTTCTACATCTACCTCCTCTACACATTTTTCTGGAGAGAGAGAACTGCCTTATAAAGTACTGTTTCCGAGTAGAGAAGACTGGATCCTCCGGGAGAAGGAAATATTAAGATCAGATAGTTGTTGGTTCACAGATGGATCAAAAACACCTTCCGGTTCTGGTGCAGGTATTTTCAGTCGCAGACCCAGGATAGAGATATTAACCTGCCTAGAAACCTATGCGACTGTATTTCAAGCGGAAGTTTACGATATTAAATTGTGTGCAGAGAGATTGGAAGAATCCAACCTCATACACAAGTCAATAATAATATTCTCGGATAGTCATGCGGCGTCGGAAGTTTTTGGCTCCTACCGAGCAACGTCTAAATTGGTAGTAAATTGCCAAAAACGACTCTCCTCGATAGGAAGACTTAACAGATTGCCTCTGGTCTGGATTCCTGGCCATACTGGCCTGGAAGGCAATGAAGCCTGCTGACTCCCTTGCAAAGGAGGGTGATCCAAGCAGCTTCATCGAACCAGAACCTGTCATTGGTATCGCTTTAGGCTTTTCCAAATAAACATTGAACACCTGGATGGCAAGAAGATTTATAGACTTCTGGCAGAATCTTCCAGGATTGGCTAACTTCAAGGCGTTTATTCACCCTTCGAAGCTTGATACCAAACAGTTGTTGGATTACAGTAGGGATGCGCTACGGTGTCTAACAGGCCTTCTGACAGGTCACTTGTCATTTGAATCATCATATACAGAGACTTGAACTGTCGAAAGACAGTGTGGGTCGCTTCTGTTTAGAAAATGATGAACCAGCAGAGCATGTACTTTGTGCCTGCCCCGCTGGGGACCGAATCAGGTCTTTAGAGTTCGGCAGAGCCGTACTCTCTACATTGACCTGAAAGACCACTCACCATAGAAACTAATCGGCTTCGTTAAGAAGCTGGGTTTATTTGGTCGAGTGTGAATAGGTGCGAGCCAATATAAACCCTTGCGGGTTCCGGTGGAAGGTTGAATAGACCCACTCACTTTGGACCTAACATAACCTAGGTTATGTTAGGTCCAAAGTGAGTGACCCTCCGCCGCAAACTGCAAGGGTTTATTATGGCTCACACCTATTCACACTTGACCAAATAAACCCAGCTTCTTAACGAAGCCGATTAGTTTGTATGGTGAGTGTTCGGTATCAAACTTCGAAGGCTGAATGAAAGCCTTAGAGCGTTTATCCACCCTTGGTAAGTGATTGATGTTGAATGCATGAAACCATCTTCAGATTGTTTTTTTATCAAAGTATTCAAAAAGAAAAACAATGTGAGAAGATAATAGATAATAAGTAAAACAAATACCTTCTGATTTGGAATAGCATATTTTGAAGGAGAGATACCTTTTGATGAAAAATTTTTGGCTTTTTACTTTCCCATAATTATACTAAATATGTGGAAAACTTTCAAAGTACGGAAAAAGTATTTGTGATCCACTCTTTGGAACCTTTGGTATAGTAATGAATATTACTGGGGTTTTTTCCCAACACCAAACCGTTATTTTAACACCTCGACACGTGTTTCGATCACCAAGTGATCATCTTCAAGAGGAAGATCGAAACACGTGTCGAGGTGTTAAAATAACGGTTTGGTGTTGGGAAAAAACTCCAGTAATATACGGAAAAAGTAATTAACTTCAATTGAGAACTCTTCAAAAGATGGAGTGACCAAAGCTTAGTTATCTCCTGGTGATGCTAACTTGGTAAGAGAAACGTGCGTCGAGAGACAGAATTTTTGTTCTGGTGTGGAAAAAGTATTTTTTATTGATGAGAAAAAATAATTTCCGTGCTTCTCATTGTTAATATCATTAAAAAAACAAACAGTTGTTTCGAAATGGTTTTTTCTCTGTTTGTATCTGAAAGAAACTTTCGTGAAATGATTACTTTTTACGTTTCTTCGGAAGTTCCCCCTTTTTTGTTTAATAATGGAGTAGTAAAAAGTCAAAAAGCTTTTTCACAAACACTTTCTGGTTTATGTAGAAGATTCTATATTCAAGACCAACTGTTTCAAAGGAGCATGCTGTAGGTAATGAAGAAATATCGAAACTAGAGGAACATACAGAGGCAATAATGAAAAAGACATAGAAAGTAAAAATTTGAAGTAGAAAAGAAAACCTCACAGTCCAATATTTTCAGAGGAATATTGAGTTCCAAAATGTGAATGCAGTCGGGCATGACATACATATTATTTAGCTATATTAAAATGGAGTATAGCAGTTATTATTGAAGAAAAACAAAAATCAACGGGAGAAAAATAAAAGTAAGTGAAAAAATATATATGTTTATAGCTTTTGTGGACCTGAGATTCATGTTAATACCAGATAGTGATTTATATCCAATTCCTAAAAGTCGCTTCAAAAATAGAAATATAAATGATAAGTAGCAAGTCACAATTTATAAATATACACGATGAAAATATTCAAGAGGTGACCATATTAAAAGTCATGAGAAAAAAAAATGCAATAGGAATATTTAGAAAACATAACAAAACTGTAACATTTGTTAAAAATTCAGTTCCAAACTGATTTTACGATACTTCAATGCTAATCTTTCCAGCGGTGTGAAATATTTTCTTTTTAACAAAATACTACGTGCTGTATATTCGAGGTTCATGATATGGAATCTGTTTTGAAAAAGAACCGGAAACGTTTAGTGTTCAACTCAATTACGTTCACAAAATTAGATATAAATTTTCAAAAATTTTGCATACTCATCGGGCTAAATTTGACCGATAGCATGGGTTATGTTGGCTTTGAGGATCACCGTGGTTGATTTGTGGCTCATTCGCATACACCTGCGACTTGAGAAAACCCCACAAGAAAAAGTCTAACGGTGCCAAATTGCACGATTTCGGTGGCTAGTTCACATCACCTCCACGTGAGATGACCATGCCCTGAAATCGCTCGTACAGAATATCCAATGTGGCATGAACTGTTTGGCACGTAGCTCCGTCCTTTTTAAACCACATGTCGTTGGTGTCCAGATCATTCAATTAAGGCCTGGGTCTGGTGTAGACCCAAGTCCCGGCGCAAAATTCGCCAAGCTGTGATCTACGAAAGACCGAATTCTTGTGAGCGACGCGAAATCGACTGCCTCGGATTCTCCTGCACACTCTCACAGACAGTGGCGATGTTTTTGGCAGACCTTTCGTTTCGTCGACATACGGGTGTTGGTCCATCGTTTACTGAACCAGTGGACTCAAATTTATCCACCACATTGGTAGGACGAGTATGGCGACCGTAAAATGGGCGAAGCACGCGGTATGTTGCCCGAACAGAACACCCAGTAGTAAAATAATTTCATTATTTGCACGTGTTCTTGAATACCATATCAGTCCATTGTGATTTGGCAAAACACACTGAATAAATGAAAACTAATTTGACAGAAATAGCTTCAACAAGATGGCCGTTGATAAAACAAGTATCAAGGTAGAAATGAAGTTACTTGATAATTATATCGATATTGCTTTACATCCAATGTTGATATGGAAGCTTTGAAATTTGAATTGAAATCAGCAGTAATAAAATAAACGGAGTGAAAGAAACCTACTATCGTCGTCCACTGTAATATCAGTCCTCTGTACAAAATCACTGTCATCATACTCGAATCTATCCCTATCGACTTCTTTGACACCGGAATCTGCAGAAGATTCGCTCTCCGAACCCCCGTTTTGCACTGCCGGATTCTTTCCTCCAATGATCGTTTTGGCTTCCACGAGAAGGCCATGAGTTCCCGGTGTCTTCCCAGTCTCCTCAAAGTCCGACCCTACGTCCGACAGATCGGACGTTTCGTCCGCTTCCGTGTCCCCGATGAGCACCTGAAGAACATAAATTTGTGAACAGAGGTCGAAAAGATGTTTCTCCGCTAAAACAAATGAATATTTCAACAGATTTTAACATTGTGTGTGCACCGTAGGTGTGAAGTGTCAAGTTTTCATCTTAGATGTATTTGTTGCGGTTCTTAGAATCAAAAAAGCATACGTATATTTAATAGCAAAAAAGATTATGGTTCTGAGAATGGCACTAGCACTATCTTTATAAATTGTTTATTGTAGATGATTCAGAATTACCTTAGCTTCGATCGCAGGGCTGGGGACTAACATTGGAACGGGCACCGGTGAGGCGGTTCCTTGAAACTGCCGCTTCTGAAGAAACCAATTTGGTTCGTCATCGGACAGCAAAGACTTCTGGTGAAAGTATTCCTTGTCATCGTTGTCATCATCTTCATTTTCGGAATCGGTTGACGAAACTTCTTCGATGTCTTGTTTTATCTGTAAGTAACGAAATGTACTATTGAGATATACACAAAGTCGGTTGAATTAGAAACAAGTTGCACATCTTAGAGCTTGTTTAAATTCCATTTCAAAATTTAAGAAATCTGATTGGTTCCGGAGACATTTGTAATTTCTTTCTGAGGTTAGTCTAGTCCAGTAACTTTATAAATCACAGCATGCGTCTGATTCTTTGTAGACTTGTTTATGATGTTGGCCTAATGAATAATCCAAGTTTGTGACCTCGAGCGAAAAAACCGCGAAAAAATTGTGTTTTTTCAAATGTTGGCGATTAAAATCTATACATGAGAATAGAAAATTATGAATGAAGAGGTGTACCTGATGCAAGGACAAATATTTACCTGATGGTATGTCCGCAAGGAGTGAAATCGAGCAGAGTCTCGTGTAGGAGGTAACCTAGCTAGATTGAAGCCGTTTTTGGTCGCAGCCTTGGCGAATAGTTGGTACCTTAGTTCATAAAGGTTATGGGTGTTGGGATTGCCTCCGTATAGCTCTCTGCGCTGCTGCTATCTCGTTAGGTGTAGAGTTGGTGTCGAGAAAAATCGCGGCTTGCTTTTCAACGTCCGGACTTTTTTCGAATATGGATATCATTTGCATCTTCCCTAAGCCAAAGAATCAGGATGTTGAGCCACAACTACTAAAGGCATGGATGAATAGGAAAAGCTCTGGTTTCTAAGGGGATTTTGAAGAAGTGATGCTGGAATACATGACATCTGATGCTTTGCCTCTTCCACATTTATTGTTGAAAATTTCACGTTGGTTTGAGATCGCAATAAGGATGATTAGCAAGTCAATGTCCTCACCAACGACTACCACTATATCATAGGTAGAGGTGGCTGTTACAGCTGTAGTGATGATGAACCTATCAGCATCTTTCTCTGCTTGGAGTACTTGAATGTTGTGAGTTTCCATTTTTGTTGTGAGCAGCTTTATGAAATGACTTTTCTTTTTGAATTTCTCATGAAGAATTATCTCTCGCAATGAGTGTAACTTGGCTCTTCGAAGACGCTCAGAGCTCTTTGTGTTTTTCTGAACAGCACCTACTGCGAAAACTACTGCCACGTTTGAGCCATAGTGAGCAATAATGTACTGTACGTATCGGTCTTTAGGGTTATCATCGCCAAAATTTTTTCTCGGCGCTCGAAGTCACAAACTTGGATTATTCATTAGGCCAACATCACAAACAAGTCTGAAAAAAATCAGAACTGCCGGATTTCACGCATACTCCCCCATACTTTCAGGCGACAAAGTTACTGGATTATTCAATAAGATATTGAACTAACTCACTGCCACTTTTCGAGCTGTACAAGATGGAGTTTACAGATTTTTGATCCGATGATTTGTCGCCGGGAAACCATCGCCCTTTAAAATGTTTATATATGCCAGGAGTTAAATTTGGCGCTATAAGTTAGCCTATTTGGTGATAACTTCACAAATATACTAGTGGTCGATTTGAAAAAAATAGGGTGGATGTTCAAATTTCGCAGGCTACGTAAATTCGATTAACGAATTTTTTTATATTGGTAGACTCGTCTTTGGTCTCCCCAAAGTCCATAAAGAAGGAGTACCACTTACACCAATCGTGAACTTGGTAGGTTCACCAGTGCATCAAATAGCGAAACATGCAGAAAAGGTCGAGTCATATGTACGAAATGCTGATAATCTCATAAATAGGTATATTGAAAACACAAATCGTGAGTCCGGACATTAGCCTTGTCAGCTTTGGTGTTGCTTCCTTATTCACCCAGATACCCACCCACTGGATAATAGGGGAGCCCAAGCGGAGATTTCGGGATTTACTAAAGCGCGGCAGATTAATACACAGGGGATACCTTGCACCCGGTTAAGTACCTCCACCAAATATGAGCCCCATATATAAGGCCGCCTGTGAGGGTTAAAGGATCAGATTAGTAAAAAAAATGATCATCAGAAATTCTCGAGGGCGTCAGATTAAGGTAGGGTGAGTTAATTGCTTGCTAAAAAGTGTATATTTCAGTAATCTGACAATTTGAGAGTGACGTGAAGAAATGGGAGGGCAGCAAAGTTGTAAAAAAATAACGTCATTTTGACATTCTCGAGCGTAGCTAACTTTTATTTTATTTTAAAGGAAATAATTCAAGGATATCGAAAAATATATAATCTGACGATTTCCGCAAGCCAAATAACAAAAATTCGTCGATAACGTGTCAGTAACAATTACAAATGTAATGAAATCAGGCCATACAAATATTTTTTGTTACCGGGCAGATGTTAAATTTGTGAAAGATATCAGCTATGAGTATATAAACAACAAATAACATACATTTTTCATTTACTGATAAGCAAGCGGTGCATCATCCAGTGATTTGTCTTGTGAAATATTTGTTATGTGTTGGTGATCAAACTCTGATAGCAAAATTTCGTAGAAATTCTCGTCAGCAAATTTAATTATTTTCATTGTACCCTAGCAACTGTAATTACTATTCACTAACAAATAAAATTACTAAGAATCAAGAATAATGACAAATCCAAATTATTACACAAACCTACTAGTTGAACTTTATATCTTGGTATAAACTTAAATAGGTCCATTAAACATAATTAATTATTGCTACTAAAAGTGCTTACATTGTTCTTCCGTTTTGACTTTTTTATCACTGAAACTATAGCCATATTGCTCGGTAAATCAAATTATACCGTTTAGTATCGATTGATAGGGGAAATAAAAGCAACTGAAGATATAAGTAGACAGATCATGTTTTCTAACGAGGAAGCCAAAAAAGTGTAGTTACGTAACTATACATTGTGGAACGATTTTCTTCGAGTGAATTAAAACCGGAACAACAAAGGAAGAATTAAACATTTCAGTAATGATAACGATATTTTTTTGTGAAATTACATTAATAACTTGCAATTAACTGTACTCAATGCCATGTTATTGCAAAGTGGAGCGAATTATCGTGTGTTTATTTTTGAAATTATTGTTTTTTTGTGGTTGGTTAATTTTTATACGTGTTATCAAGACACATTCATTTTGGAGTTCAAGAAGGATAAACCATATACGTTTTTTCATGGTAATAGTAATTTGGATCAAAGTAGAAAATAATTTTTAAATGTAACAACCAAAAATCTGTTGAAATTAAAAACTTTTTCAGCTGTAGTTCTCTGTTGTAAAATTCTAATTATTAACGTTGAACAAGGATTTCTGAAAGTGCAAATTATGAATTGATAAATTCAAAGTTTCATATATGATGGAATTGGCCATTACTTGTTGAAAATCTATAACGTATTTAAAATCTGTTTAAAAAAATCTGTTTAAAATCTATTTTAAAAGTATTCCTTGTCATCGTTGTCATCATCTTCATTTTCGGAATCGGTTGACGAAACTTCTTCGATGTCTTGTTTAATCTGTAAGTAACGAAATGTACTACTGAGATATACACAAAGTCGGTTGAATTAGAAACAAGTTGCACATCTTAGAGTTTGTTTAAATTCCATTTCAAAATTTAAGAAATCTGATTGGTTCCGGAGACATTTGTAATTTCTTTCTGAGGTTAGTCTAGTCCAGTTACTTTATAAATCACAGCATGCGTCTGATTTTTTGCAGACTTGTTTATGATGTTGGCCTAATGAATAATCCAAGTTTGTGACCTCGAGCGCCGAACGCAACTTTGTCAAAAATCGAAAAAACAGCGAACAAATTGGGTTTTTTCAAATTTTGGCGGACTAGTTTTTGAAAAAACTTGCTTGGTAAGTTTTTGAAGTAGACTGAATTTTCTACAATATGATACTAGAACTGTCTCTGTAGACCCAATAGTTTCCAAGATTGAGCCTTTCAAAGTCTATCATTTTTTTTCGAACTTCGCAATTTTTGAAGTTTTGTCTTTCTGATTAATTAAATTTTTGCCCTGATCATACCCTGATATGATGGGATATTAAAAAAGAAAATGAGAAATGTGAACGATGATGTTCAAGGGTGAAGAATGAACTAGGAAGACATTGAAATAAACAACTCAAAGAGGAAGGAGAGAAATGTAGAAGGATTGATAAATTGTTATTTAATGTAATGGAATGGAACACATGTTTTAAAAATAAAAGTCAGTTTTGAAATCAAACAGTTTCATCTTTCATTTCATCTATTATTTATTAAGCTAAGAATAATGAAGTACAAAAGATAAGAACAATAAAAGTTAATAAGTTTATTTGTAGGAAATTGAGTAATATTAAAAATAAATCAAATTGAGTAATAAATCAAATTAGTAGTAAATCAATAGAGTAAATCAATGGGGAATGTTCCTCAATTTGGGTTATTACAGCAAATGCAAGTTTGAACAAAATAAAGTTGAGTTTAATTCATGAATTTTTTAAATTCACTTCGAAAAGTATTCAAATTGATGTTTCAAATGTTGGGTTTCAATTTTTAAAGGGATTTGTTCCTAATTCACATATTGGCGCCTATATCAAGTTGAGATAATTTATATGTACCTATATATTCTACTGTAAAAAAGGAAAATTATCTTTATAAATCAACAATTAAGACAAAATATAAATTATAGTTCAATACCACCTCCACAAGCCACATAAACAACAGTTGTTATGTTATTTATATATATAGAGGGAGATAGGTTAGGTGCACAAAATGTCATATGTCACAAAATGTCTCGGAACTCGGAACATAAGTAAACAGAACAGCACGCCTCTGAAATATGTCATTTTTGTTTGATTTTCGTCAGGAGGAACATTCCCCATTGAGTAGTAAATCAAATAATTAAATTAATTCAGCCCTCTTGGAAGATTCCGGTTGCGTGTCTGGATCGACATATTGGGATGGCATATCCCCATCAGGGGATGGTGATGAATCGTTGACGTCTTATGCCCGAAAGTCATCCTCCATTTCGACATCGGTCAAATCGTCGTCTTCTGGGATATCTACTACAGCAACATCAGGTATATTGTCACAAGAGGCCCCGATGCACTGCCTGCAGACTGATGAGCATTTTTATCCTGCCTTTCTGCAGCTGCACGCGTTTTCACAACCCTTCGAGCAACCGCAAGATATCATCTGCAAGAGTTGTTGTGGGACTGCATCTCTGGTCATCATTTTGGGGTTGAGGCCTTGTGACATGGATATCCACCCCCAGGAGAGAGGGTTCAGTGTGACTCTCAACCACGCCTGTACCTGTAAGAATATTGTACATGAGAATAGAAAATTATGAATGAAGAGGTGTACCTGATGCAAGGACAAATATTTACCTGATGGTATGTCCGCAAGGAGTGAAATCGAGCAGAGTCTCGTGTAGGAGGTAACCTAGCTAGATTGAAGCCGTTTTTGGTCGCAGCCTTGGCGAATAGTTGGTACCTTAGTTCATAAAGGTTATGGGTGTTGGGATTGCCTCCGTATAGAGAAACTATGACTCGCTCTCTGCGCTGCTGCTATCTCGTTAGGTGTAGAGTTGGTGTCGAGAAAAATCGCGGCTTGCTCTTCAACGTCCGGACTTTTTTCGAATATAGATATCATTTGCATCTTCCCTAAGCCAAAGAATCAGGATGTTGAGCCACAACTACTAAAGGCATGGATGAATAGGAAAAGCTCTGGTTTCTAAGGGGATTTTAAAGAAGTGATGCTGGAATACATGACATCTGATGCTTTGCCTCTTCCACATTTATTGTTGAAAATTTCACGTTGGTTTGAGATCGCAATAAGGATGATTAGCAAGTCAATGTCCTCACCAACGACTACCACTATATCATAGGTAGAGGCGGCTGTTACAGCTGTAGTGATGATGAGCCTATCAGCATCTTCCTCTGCTTGGAGTACTTGAATGTTGTGATTTTCCATTTTTGTTGTCAGCAGCTTTATTAAATGAATCTCCTTTTTGTCATTTGACAAGAATTTCTCATCAACAATTATCTCTCGCGATGAGTGTAACTTGACAATTCGAAAACGCTCAGAGTTCTTTGTGTTTTTCTGAACAGCATCTACTGCGAAAACTACTGCCACGTTTGAGCCATAGTGAGCAGTTATGTACTGTACGTATCGGTCTTTAGGGTTATTAACGCCAAAATTGGAGAAAAACCCCGATTTTTTGCAATTTTTTGGATTTTTGACAAAGTTGCGCTCGAGGTTACAAACTTGGATTATTTATTAGGCCAACATCACAAACAAGTCTGAAAAAAATCAGAACTGCCGGATTTGACGCATAATACCCTATACTTTCAGGCGACAAAGTTACTGGATTATTCAATAAGATATTAAAAACCGTAAAACATTAACTCACTGCCACTTTTCGAGCTGTACAAGATGGAGTTTGCAGATTTTTGATCCAATGATTTGTCTCCGAGAAACCATCACCCTTTAAAATTTTTATATATGCCAGAAGTTGAATTTGGTGGTATAAGCTAGCGTTTTTGGTGACAACTTCACATATACTGGTGGGTTTAACAGTGTATCAAATAATGCATAGATATGATTGAAAACACAAACCGTTAGTCCGGACGATATCCTTGTCAGCTTCGATGGTATACTTCTTATTTCACCCAGATACCCACCGGAGAGGCACTAGGAATAATCAAAAATAAATATAAACTAGAAAAACATATCATCACCTAGGCTGAACATTGCATCAGAAACACTTACTTCACCTAATCAACGATACAGACAAATTGAGGGGGCAGCAATGGGCTCACCACTATCACCCACTATCGCCAATCTATGGAAGGAATTGAAACCAAAGCAGTAACAACGTCAGACTTTGAACCAAAACTCTGGCTGAGATATGTAGATGACATTTCCGTGATTTGGTCACTTTCAAGGTTTTTCAATCACTTGAATGGAATCTATCCATTGATCAAATTCACGAAAGAAGTTGAAGAGGGTAACCAGCTCACATTTCTCGATGTGTTGATCATGAAAAAGCCGGATGAGAGACTATGTCACACGGTATATCGTAAAGCAACACACACCTTTAGTTAGCTGAACGCAAATTCTCACCACCTTAAAACAAATTTACTCGGTGGCACAAACACTAATTACTTGTTCAAGGAGGCTGTCAGACAACGAAATTATAAATACGGCTTTCAAGATCACACAGAAACAGCTAAAATCCCGAGATGCATCGGTCATAACAATCATATTACCATATATTGAAGGGACCACAGACACAATCAGCAGAACTCTCTGCCAACAAAACATAGCAACATCATTCGTACCAGAAGGTACAATAAGGTCCATGCTCCGTAATCCAAAGGATCAGATACTACTGGAGTCCCAAATAGTTCACAAAGTACCATGTCAAGACTGTGACAAGACTTACGTCGGCCAGGCCAACTAGCGAATCAACATACCCAACAATGTGCCCTAATTATCAGTAAAGGGAACTCTAGATAATCGTCAGATTATGAATCAGCACCTCTTAAACATAAAGATGAACCATATATATCTTAATCTGACGCGCTTGAGTATTTCAAAATGGCGAATTTTTTTGCACAGTATAATAATGCGTCAGATCGAAATCGTCAGATTATTGAATGAGAGCTTTTTTTGTTGCATTTAACATCTCTTCATGGAAGGAATCGAAACTAAAGCAGTAAAAACGTTAGACTTGAAACCATAACTCTGGTTGAGATATGTAGAAGACATTTCCGTGATTTGGTCACATGGAAACCATGAACTTCCAAGGTTTTTCAATCACTTGAATCGAATCCATCTATTAATCAAATTCACGAAAGAAGTTGAAGAGGGTAACCAGTTCACATTTCTCGATGTGTTGATCATGAAAAAGCCAAACAAAAGACTATGTCACACGGTATATCGTAAAGCAACACACACTTTTAGATACCTGAACGCAAATTCTCACCACCTCAAAACAAATGTACACGGTGGCACAAACACTAATTACATGTTCAAGGAGGCTGTCAGACAACGAAATTATAAATGCGGCTTTTAAGATCCCGAGATGCATCGGTCATAACAATCATATTACCATATATTGAAGGGACCACAGACACAATCAGCAGAACTCTCCGCCAACAAAACATAGCAACATCATTCGTACCAGAAGGTACAATAAGGTCCATGCTCCGTAATCCAAAGGATCAGATATTACTGGAGTCCCAAATAGTTCACGAAGTACCATGTCAAGACTGTGACAAGACTTACGTCGGCCAGGCCAACTAGCGAATCAACATACCCAACAATGTGCCCTAATTATCAGTAAAGGGAAAAGTCACCACGTCTTTCCTCTTCTGAGACGTATCGGCGACAGGACACAAAATCAGTTTCGAGAAACCCAAAATCACAGAGGCTATCAAAATTGAAAAACGACCTAGTATGAACAACAGGGATGACGCGCAAAGATTACTAGCGACATGGAGATCTATTTCATCACTTCACAAAATCAAACAGACCACACAACCCCAAAACTAAAACTCAACACATGAAAATTCAGGTAAAATGACAAAGGCAGGCGAAACAGCACAGGTAATCTGACCAACACAGGTAGTGGCAACAACCCAGGTAAATAATAGCATCCACCCTTATACTAAGAAACAAAGTTCGAGTGAATCAGTCTAGTTCTAAACTCCAGACATCACAGAAGATGGCAAATGAGACGTTGCCGAAACGTTGTGAAAGTAATCTTTGTGAGGATCAAAAACGCGGAGAACGAAGCAAAACCCGGAAACTACCCTAAGATCTTCAAAAAAATACTTCCTTCTGTTAATATAACCTGAAAAATATTAAACAAAAAATGTTACATTCCCAATCGAAATATAACCAGAGGTCAAACAAGAACATTTTCCGAAGGAATATAATAACATGTACAGTTTTATGCCTGTCGACTGAGAAATCTTCTTACCGTGAGCGTAAGCCTGTCCACGTACTTTCTCGTCCCGAAGCTAGAATCGCTCTGGATCCATTCCTCGAGGCTGGAAATCGAGGTGGATTCCAGATCGGCGGTCTTCCATTTGCTCTCCAAAGTCTCTTCTCCGAAGAAATATTCCTTGTCATCCCTTCTTCCCAAGGAACTGGTTGGGCGGCTGGATACGCTGGCAGCTGAAGATGACGGTAGAGTGTTTTGGCTTGAACTTATTACCTGGAACGATTTTTTATAGAGTTACTTAATCACTAAAAAACACACATGTTCATCAAAGAGAAGTTGTGGAAATTATTTCGTAAGTAAATCATCTGATGATCAACTGTATTGCCAAATATTCGCCAAACTAACTGACAACAAGTATAGCTGAGGCAGCAGTCAATCTTATAATAACACTGATGATCCTCAAGCATGACTCAACCTCTGACGGAAGTACCAAACTCTTACCATTGTTATAATCATTATGCAGTCCATGTTCACAATAGTTCTGGCGTTGAATCTGACCATTCTTACGCATTGGTCAAAGACTAAAAGGACTAGTTTGAGTTTGACGATAGTCGTGTCACTAAATATTTTGGCAGTATCTTGAATTTATTGGAGCCCTGGAGACACTTTATATTCTATTCTATGAAACAGAGGGCATTGACACATCGAAATCTTCAAATGATGTGGTGCTGCAGGTTTTTCCGGGTTTTCCTGCAGCTGAAACTTTAAAAAAGGAAAATTATCTTTATAAATCAACAATTAAGGCAAAATATAAATTATAGTTCAATACCACCTCCACAAGCCACATAAACAACAGTTGTTTTGGTATTTATTTATATAGAGGAAGATAGGTTAGGTTAGGTTAGATAGAATGTCTCGGAACATAAGTAAAGAGAACAGCACGCCTCTGGAATATGTCATCTTTGTTTGTCTCATACAGGTAACAGATTCATTGTCCTTTATTAGCTATAACCGATGTTGTCAAATAAACGAATCCCTTTAAATGTTGAATGCATTATTCCATTCCTCTTTTTTAAGTTTTCAAATAATTTTTTAAACAAAAAGGTTGGAATGATATATTTGAAATGCTTAGCTCTTTTATGAAAACTACTTGATTTTCGTCAGGAGGAACATTCCCCATTGATGATATTTCTTCTAGTGCCAAACTTGTCTAGTTTTGAGTTCAATATATCATGATTTATAGTATCGAATGCTTTACAATAATCTAAAGACAAAAGGCAACATTTTCTTTTAATTATCAGTTTGATTTTTTTAAATGACATCCATTGCTGCTGCCTTTGTATCTATAGACCAGCGAAAACAATACTATACGTGGAGTGTTGAAAAAAATTTGTTCAAAAAAATCTGTTCAAAATCTGTTTTTCCGTTAATCAGCTGTTGCCCCCATGCGAACGACAACTCTCAGTAGTTGAGAAACTTGTGCGAGCTAAGGACTAACGAGGTCTCACCTTTTTCTAACGTGTGATTTCAAACACGGTTACAGAATCATCCCAGCTTCAACCAGATGAATTCTCTCGAGAAAAATATCTGGTCGAGGCAGGAATCGAACCCACGGTCTTCCGATCGTGAGTCGGGCGCACTACCACCGCGGTCAATTCCAATTACAGGTAAATGTTCAAATTTAGCGGGCTACGTTTATTCGATTAGCAACTTTTTTATGTTAGTATACTCGTCTCGAACATATGTTCACAGTTTCGGTTGTTTAGTTTATTGGTGAGAGGCATAAAAGTTAGAAGTATTTTGCGTGTTCGCCGATTTTCTGCTATAGAAAAAAATGGGTCGAAGAATGTTTATCAGATTTTATGTAAAAAATGGAATTAAGTACTCAAAAAAATCTGGAATGTTGACAGTGGCATACAGTGATTGCACTCTGAGTCAGAAAAACGTTTACAAGTAGTACAAGCTTTTCACAGAAGGTCGAGAAGATGTGAATGACGACGCTCGCTCTGGACGACCCAGCACATCAACAACGAATCATGGGTGTATGGAAGAGCCCAGTAGAGTCACATCATGGTTTTGCTCACTGTTTTCTTCAATTACCGTGGCGTAGTGCATCGCAATACGAAGAAAACGTCCAGTACTGTGGAAAAACATGTCATGGCTTTTGCATCCACGTTAATTCAACTGCTCACTCGTCATTGCTTGTTCCTAATGTTTTGCCCAAAAACGACACCGTAATCATGCCACACCCACCGTATTCACCAGATTTAGACCCCTGAGACTTTTTCATGTTTCCAAGATGAAAGAGACCATGAAAGGACGGTGTTTTGCGACGATTGAGGAGATTACAACCGAATCGCTGAGAGAGATCAAGGATATACTAAAATGTTCATATAAGAACTGCTTCGAGGATGTGTATTTTATCTGAGGGGGACTACTTTGAAGAGGACAAAATTATCGAGTAAAAAATATCTAATGAGAAAAATGAAATTTCATCTTATTTTTTGTACAGACAGCGTATAAAACATTATTCTTTCCAATCAAAAACAACTTCTTCCTTTGACTGATAACCAATATTGAAATTTTTTGACTTTGGTAAGAGACAAGAGACAAGTGATTTGATTGATTCATTGGCCAAAATCCATTAACCCCATTGAATGTGGGGAATATTCAATTTAGGTAATCTTAACATTAATAGTCGGAACTGCTAAAACCTGAGAGACTTCTTTCCAAACGGTCATAAAATATAGTTTTGACTGTGTAGTATTTTTTATATATCTTTGAAGTAATTTCACTTTCATTTTCTTTATTTTCACCGTTATGAGCACCTGAAAGTTGCATAATTTTGAATTCTTCATAGATCATATCCAACTTCCGATTTCTAATTTTTATATCAGTGTCATAAATACTGTCACTTTAAGATATATTCAAGCAGCTCATCCATTGCAATTTTCCTAATTAGCAGTATATTTTTCGCTTCAAGAGACATCTTGGTACATCGTACATCGGATATAAACATTGAATTATCTTGAGGCTCAAAATGAGAATAGTTATTTATTGTACAAGGGAAAAAAGTATTAGATTTTAGCTCGAGGTTGTGTTGTCTCCCGACGTGAAGCGGAGGGATACAAAAAATCGAGAGCTAAAATCTAATATTTTTTCCGTGTATAATACACAATTTTTTTCTGTGACGGGAAAAACGACGATTCAATATTGGAAAATTAAATTTCTACCTCTACCTTACCATATTGAATATGATAAACAATTTTTCTTTAAAACTGTTCCCAATAGAAAACAATTTCACTATGAGCGCGAAACAGAATTTGAATTATTGATAACATGTCGCAATTAAAAATATTCAAATAATAAATCGAACAAACAACTCAAAGGACAAAAGCAAGTTCACTCACAAATCCGCAAAAATTGTTCCATTTTTATTTTTCGAACGCACTTCAAACGAGTAAATGAGAAACGAATTTTCAAATTATATTCATGAAAGTCATTTCACCAATCATCTATCACATTCAACGTGTCAAACGATCCGGCTCGAAGGGCCAAAATGTTGAGAATTTTCAAGATAAATCAATGACCGTGAAGTATGGGGATCTTGTAAGTATCGAAAACTCTTTCGTTAAAATATTATTTCAATTTGATTTCCATCTCGAGTCACCGAGGTCGAATAATTTCACTATTCTAATTTATACTCGATAATCATTTGTTTTGCTTTTTTTGATAAGAATGTAAATATCTATTTTCAAGTTTATCTACCGGAAATTTTATCAGTTCGCGTAGGTTTCTTGGAGAGAATGCCCATTTATCTTTTTATGTCCAACCTACTATAATACTGACCCTAGCAAGTTTTACGTAGGTCAAACTGGAAAAATATTCAATAGCACGCATACAAGAACATAGACAAAGTTTTCAGAATGGAAAAATAAATTCGACCCATGCTACACACCGTATTAGAGGGGGACATGAGTTCAATTATGAATTCAAAAATGTTCGATTGCGAAATAAAGGTTTGAAGCTTTTGGAAAGTATGAAAATCAAGAAGTACAAAAATTCCCAATATCTAATGAACGATTGTGGAATTGGCCGCGGTGGTAGTGCGCCCGACTCACGATCGGAAGGCCGTGGGTTCGATTCCCGCCTCGACCAGATATTTTCATCGAGAGAATTCATCTGGTTGAAGCTGGGATGATTCTGCAACCGTGCTAGGAATCACACGTTAAAAGGTAAGACTTCGCACAAGTTTCTCAACTTCTGAGAGTTGTCGTTCGTACGGGGGCGACAGTTGATTAACGGAAAAACAGATTTTAAACAAATTTTTTTTAAACAGATCAAACTGAACTGAATAGCTCCGTCACGTTATTTGATATGTTCTTGCAGATAACCATGTTTTGTTGCCCTAGTAATAATTAATAATTTATTGACTTGTTTTTCATATAATTTCTATGAATGAGTGAATGAGTATTTTTATCTGCTTTTACTATATAGATAATGAAATGATTTTATCCGCTTCTTTCAAGTAGTTGAAATTAGATTACAATTCTGGAGCGTAATGTTTTTAGAATATGGAATGTTTCAATCTAAAAGAAATGAATCGAATCCTGATTGAGAAAGTTATTGAATATCGAAACACTTGTCGCGGTTTTGTAAATCTTTCATATTGGAAATCAAAAGAGTTGGTTGTTTCAAAAGTTTTTTCCGTTTTTATGTGTCTCCTTTATACTGTAATATCTCGGTGGATATGTATTCAATTTAAACGAATTTAGTGTTATTTGAATAAGTGCACGTTTGCCAACCTAACAGAACTCAATCGAATCCACCAGCATAAAAATTGTGTGATAGGGATTCGATGAAGTCGACAAGGGCCATTTTTGCCTGGTCCTGATTGGCGAAGGTTCTACCGATGAGAAAGTTATCGTTATTGAAGAACTTTGCTGTGATTATTGCAGAAAATTATGGTGAATCACAACAGCCGCTGATCACCATACAGTAGCCATGGTCTTTTTTTGTGGGTTTTTGCCTTTGGGAAGTGCTTGGTTGACTCATCGGTATCCAACCACTGTCCTGAACGTCTCCTGTTATCGTAAAGGATCCACTTTTCACCACACGTGACGATCCGATACAAAAAAGGATTTGCTAAAGTAAAGAAGAACAGACCTCGAAACGTGACAATTTCCATCGATCGTTCAAATCGTGAGGCACCCACTTTTCGAGCTCATTGATCTTTCCAATACGTTTCAAACCATCAAAAACCGCATGGGAGCTGACAATCAGTTCTTCCGCCATCCTATTCACCGTTTGTGATGGGTCAGTCTCCACCAGGGTTCTCAAATTCTCGTCCGGGATTACTGTAGGTCGACTACTCCAGGGTTCGTCTTCGAGGCTAAAATTTCCGGAACGAACTTTCGCAAACCAACATCAAACAGTGCGTTCATTAACACTATCATTGCCAAATGGCTGGTCAATTTTCGGGCCATTTCGGCAGCGCTTCAATTTGAATTCGTATAAAAAAGTTTGACAGAAATCACTCAACAACAGAACTCTTTGAAGACGCTAAACGCCCCAAAAAGAATGATTGAGTGGTCATCAAGAAGGTTATCACAGCACCGGTAGTTGAAGGGGCTGGAAATAATTTTACCCGTTCTCATAAAATTGTATGGAGCTAGTACGCACGATAGTCATCTTGATTTCAAACAGGTTGGAGCCTGGCTCCCTTACCCGTATGGCTGGCGTTTGTCAGAGGGACAAACGGGACATAACTGAATTTGAGATGGCGACATGAAAGGCCTCAGACTAGTCCTCAGAGCTAGTCCCCCCATGCCCCCTCCCGGGTTGAGTGCCCTGAAGTAAAAACTTCACCCACAACCAATTTGCGAGGAAAACTTAATACTCCACTCCATCCATCCCCGCCCTCCGAGCGGTCCTCAACTTACTGATGGGCACTTCAGCAAAATTGACATATGACGTCTTTTGGTGGAAAGTCATGTACCTAAAGTGGGTCGGAAAAACCCACACCCTAAATTGATACGTCCAATCAGCCTTACATCCTTCCTGTTGAAAGGACTTGAGAGGCGTAACAAGACACGCCCGAAGAAGCCATTGTATGGCGAAACATGTGTTGAGTTTTGTAAAACTGTTCAGTTGAAATCTCCCAATGAAGTATCTTTTTTAATAAGTTAGTTACGGATTTTCAAGTATCGGCCAATTTCATTATATATCTTCCAGGATTGACTCACTCGAAGACGTTCATACACCCTTCGAAGCTTCAAACCAAACAGTTGTTGGATTACAGTAGAGATGGGCTACGATGTCTAACAGGCCTTCTATTCTCACAGGTCATTGTCGTCTGAATCATCATATGCAGTGACTCGGACTGTAGGAAGTCAGTGTGTGTTGCCTCTGTTTGGAAAATGAAGAAACAGCAATTCACATACTTTGTGTCTGCCCCGCTGCAGAGCGAATCAGGTTTTTATCTGAACTGAAAGATCACTCACCATATAAGCTAATCGGTTTCGTTGACAAGCTGAGTTTTTTTGGTTGAATGTGGATATGTGTGAGACACAATAAATACTTGCGTGTTGCGGTGAAGAATCGAATAGATCCACTCACTTTTGACCTAACCTAACCTAACCTAACATAATGTAGTAATAAGCTCAAGAAAACCAAAAAATTAAAATCTGGAAAAAATGAACAGCATCAATGTATAGAGTACAACATTCTCTATCGACCAGTATATACCGCGACACAGTAGTAGTCCGGTCAAATTAGACAAAAAAAATAAGAGTAAAGGTACCTAAATTCCCACCAAGCTGAAAATCAGTAAGATTTTTCAAGATATGATTGAAAATAAAATTTGATAGTTCCCCGTCTTTCCCCTGTATGAAAAAAAAATTATTTAAGGTCAAAAAAATGAGTTTTTACCATTACTTGTTGAAAATCTATAACGTATTTAAAATCTGTTTAAAAAAATCTGTTTAAAATCTATTTTTCCGTTAATCAGCTGTCGCCCACATACGAACGACAACTCTCAGAAGTTGAGAAACTTGTGCGAGCTATGGACTACCGAGGTCTTACCTTTTAACGTGTGATTCCTAATACGGTAGCAGAATCATTCCCGCTTCAACCAGATAAATTCTCTCGAGAAATCGGGAATCGAACCCACGATCTTCCGATCGTGAGTCGGTGCGGCTAATTCGCGGCTAATTCCACAATTACGTATTCAAGAAACACTTCATTGTGAGATTTCCACTGCACAATATTATAAAAACTCAACATTTGTTTCGCTATTCAATAGCTTCTTCAGGCGTATCTATACTTACCAGTAGAAGGGGTAGGTTAGGTCCAAAGTGAGTGGGTCTAGTCGACACTCCGCCGCAACCCGTGGGGTTTTATTGTGGCTCACACCTATTCACACTCGACCAAATGAACCCAGCCGATTAGTTTGTATGATGAGTAGTTTTTCAGGTCAGATGGTAAGAGTACGGCTCTGCCGAACTCTAAAAACCTGATTCGGTCCCCAGCGGGGCAGGCACAAAGTATATGCTCTGCTGTTCCATCATTTCCAAACAGAGGCGACACACACTGTCTTCCGACAGTCCGAGTCTCTGTATATGATGATTCAAATGACAGTGACCTGTAAGAAGGTTAGACATCGTAGTTCATATAGTCCAACTACTGTTTGGTATCAAGCTTCGAAGGGTGAATAAACGCCTTGGAGTAAGCCAATCCTGGAAGATCCGCCATCCAGGTGTTCAATCTTTGTTTGGCAAAGCCTAAATCGATGCCAATGACAGATTCTGGTCCGATGAAGCTGCTTGCAGAACCTTCCTTTGCAAGGGAGTCAGCAGCCTCATTAGCTCAATAGGAGTGAGAGAAGCAAAAGTATGCATCACTGCCGCTTCTAATTCGTATCTAGAATTGAAAGGCAATTTAATAATAAGATCTTTCAACCTTCCCCAGACGTAAAAGTCCATTGGTCCTTGGTTGGGAATCCAATCATTACCAAAATTTGCAGGCAAAAAATTGGTGGCAAAATGAAAATGGAAACTTTTGGTTTGGAAACCAGGTGTTTGCTTGGAAAAGCCTAAAGCGATGCCAATGACAGGTTCTGGTCCGATGAAGCTGCTTGCAGCACCCTCTCTTGCAAGGGAGTCAGCAGCTTCATTGCCTTCCAGGCCAGTAAGGCCAGAAATCCAGACAAGAGACAATCTGTTAAGTCTTCCGATCGGGGAGAGTCGTTTTTGGCAATTTGCTACCAATTTAGACATTGCGCGGTAGAAGCTGGAGCTTCCAACTCCGCTTGACTGTCTGACAATATTTTTTGACTTGTGTATGAGGTTGGATTCTTCCAATCTCTCCGCACACAATTCAATAGCGTAAATTCTTGCTTGGAATACAGTCGCATAGGTTCCTAGGCAGGTTGACATCTCTGTCCTAAGTCTGCGACTGGAAACACCTACACCAGAACCGGAAGGTGTTTTTGATCCATCTGTGAACCAACAACTATCTGCTCTCAACTAGTAGTAACTGGTATAGTTAGTGTAGACACGTCTGAAGCGAAACACGTGTTGCGTTTTTGTAAAATTGTATATTGAAAATCTCACAACGTGTTTCTTGAATAATTCAAAGTTACAGATCCAAAAATTTTTTTCTATATCATTGAAAATATCAATATCACATTTTTATACATTTTTCATATTTTCAAAATTGCTATTACTAACATATTCTTTGCAATATGCCCCCCACTTTTTGGAATGAAAAATAAGAATTTTCAAATTTGCAACTTATTGAAAAACACACTTTATGGTGAGATTTTCACTCGAAATAAAAGGCATAAAAGTTAGAAGTATTTTGGATGTTCGGCGATTTAATGCTATCGAAAAAAAAATGGATCAAATAAATTGCATCAAATTTTGGGTAAAAAATGAGATTAAGTACTCAAAAACACTCGAAATGTTTATAGTGGCATATGGTGATTGTACTTTGAGTGAGAAAAATGTTTACAAGTGGTACAAGCTTTTCACAGAAGGTCGAAAAGATGTGAATGACGCCACTCGCCCTAAACGCCCCAGCGCATCAACAACCGATGTTGTTGATGTGAAGCGTGTGGCAACGAAGTTCTCCTCAAAATTGCTGAATCTTTACCAAAAAACCGTCGCATGAGCATCGCTCAGGAATTGTTGAATGAAGTCAACGGCGATCCAGATTTTCTGGTGACGAAAGTCCAATCGTCCCAATGGAATAGCCCAGGAGAGCCAAGAACAGAAAAAGCACGCCAAGTTCGAACAAAGGTTGAGGTTTTGCTCACTGTCAACAATGCACTTGCTCGCTCGTCATTGCTTGTTCCTAATTTTTTGTCCAAAAACAACACCGTAATCAATGCTCAGCCATCGTATTTAACAGATTTGCCTCCCGCGACTTTTTTCTGTTACCAGGATTGAAGAGACCCATGGAAGGATGATTGAGGCAATGAAAATCGAATCACTGAGAGACCTCAAGTACATACCAAAAAGTGCATCATAACTGCTTCGAAGATTGTAAAAAAGTTGGCACAAGTGTATTATATCTGAGGGTGACTACTCTGAAAGAGACAAAATAAAAATTGATGAATAATTTTTTTTCTGTGACGAGTTAGCTCGACTGGCTAAGCTAAGGAATAACGTAGGGAATGAATCGAGTACAGCAGTCAGAGGCAGAAAGATTGTTAAACTCTTTTTTCTGTTCAAGCTTTCGAGGCGTTCATTGTCTCTTCATCATCCATTCCATGAATCTTGAATACGCGGTTTCATAAGTTTTCCGCGATTTAGCTGGTAATAATTTTTGTGACGCTACTTTCGCTGCTTCTACCAACTCCGGTGGAGTCAGAGAAAACTCGACAACACAACCTCGAGCTAAAATCTAATACTTTTTTCCCTTGTATAATAAATAACTATTGGAAAAAATTGAATCCTCCTCAATTTTTGAACAGACCTTGTATGTACGAGCATAAACAGTAAATTTGTCAGAACTTGTCAAAATGCCTGATACCTTATTTAATATTGCCGTAGCTAGAAGATCTTCGTATGTTTTGTTGTTCAGATCTGAACTTAGCGCCGAGTTTTCTTGTGTTTTTTGAAGACTTGGCAGATTCACCACCTCTTTGAGAAGTCTCTCTATCAATTGTTTCAATGCTGCGTGAGCTGTGCAAGGCGATTGGCCGGTTAATGGCAGATCTGCAACAAAGAAACAAGATTTTTCAACAATGAAGTCTCAATATTATTATATGAGGTATTAAAAAATAGGTAAAAAAAGGGAATTGGAACTTTCTATGTTTTTAACCACTTTTATTTATAAATAACGTTACTACGAACATTTTCAAACCTATAGGAAATGAAAGTGATAAAAAACATAGAAAATTTAAATTCTCTTTTCTTCATTATGATTTCCTACCAAGTAGTAACGGATACATCCATCAATTTATTAAAAAAAACAGGTAGTTTGTCATAGGAATAATAACAGGAAGTAGGTAGGCACTACTAACAGGCAGTAGTTAGGCCACTAACATATAAAAACACCAACATAGTAGTGAAACTTAGTCATAATAATCTCCTGAGGACGCTAATTTGGTTAGCGAAACGCGCGTTGAGAGAC